GCGCAGGGGGAACGGATTCGGGGCGCGACGCGAAGGCTGGCGATGCAAGCCTGGGCTGGGCCAGGGTCTGCCCGACGTTTCCTATACACCCATGTGTGCACACACATACGCAACCGTACGCGCGCGCACGCAGAGCACCCACATACACTGACACTCACACACACACACACACACACACACACACACACACAACCTCTCTCCGCAACTCCCTCTCCTCGTCTTGCTCTCCCCCTTGCTTTCACTCGCGCACCCGTGCCCACCCCCGCCCGCCCAGCGCGTTCACCTGCTTCAGGTCTTTGGCGGAGTAGATGAACCCCGTCGGCCCCTGCCAGGTGATCTGGTACAGGAGGTCCCCCACTTTGACCAGGCCCTCCCCAAACCACTTGGCGTCCATGGGAGTGCGCGTCTCAACCTTGCCACTCTCCAGGTCAACCAACCGGACGTCGCTGTGGCCATACATGCCTGGCAGGAGGGGGTCCGGGTTTGGTAAGGACAGGTTTGTTGGGGTGGGTGCTTGTGTGTGTGCATTTGTGTGTGTGTGTGTGCGTGTGTGTGTGTGTGTGTGTGTGTGTGCGCGCGCACGTGCGTGCGTGTGTGTGCGCATGCACGTGTCCGTATGAGGGGGGGATTGCCCGCAAGCCTGCTCACGCTGCATGTGCGCGGTCGGGGCGAGCCTGCGCACGCCGCTGGTCCCGCGGCACGGCACTGCTCGCTCCCTCGCGTTCCCACCGCTCTCCCGCGCAAACGCTCTGGTGTCCCTGCTGTGTGGCGGCCTGCTGCGGGGCTGTCGGGCGCCTCTTGGCCTGCATGCCCGCCGCCTGCCCGCCGCTGTTGTGGATGCCGTCATTAGATCTTTATGGGGCGCTAGTGTCGACCGTTGCCGCGCACCTGTTGACTCCCAAAAGACCTCCTTACAGTCGGTCTTGTTGTCATAGCAGCGGCGGTCAAACACGAGACCTGTTGGTTCGCAAGGGTTGCGTGTGCGGACACGCGCCGCCGCATCCGAGGCAAGCGTGGGTCGGCGCGCTCTGATCACCGACCCTGCTGCTGTTGCTGGGAGGAGAAACAACACCGGGGCCAAGGAAAACCTAGCTGGCTGGGAGGCAGTCGCAGCTGCGCCATGCGAGACAAGTTCGCGAACGCCGGCGGCATGGGTGCTGCATGCATGGCGCATGCAGGTGTTGAGGCGGCGGCGCGCCTACCTTGGGTAAACGCCTTGGGGTCATGCGGGTATTCCGCCACGACCTCAAAGCCAAACAGCGCTGGGCCCTTGTTGGGTGGCCATTGGGCGCATGACTTTGCTTTGGGTCCCGCAGCGAGGCCAACCCTTGCGGAGAGCAAAAAGATCAGCCACAATCGAACGGTCTGGTGTGGCATGACGCCGGCACCTCGAAAAATATCAAGTTGATAGTGTGTTTGAATCAAGTAAAGGTTCACTCAAGGCCTCCTGCTGTCCATATCCCGCGTGCATGCGAGAGAAGGAATCCACTGAGCTGTTCCCTTGACGAGCTCGCAGACTCGGGTGTCCTCTACAATTGTGAACAAAGTAGCAACAGGTTTCATCAACCCGTGGCACTCCAAAGCCTGTAGCTGGAAGTGGTTGCTTTTGGGCCAGCTGCTGTGCTGTGCTGGTGCCGACCTGAGTTCATGGTCCCCTGCGCACCGCGCTGGAGTCACCGGCTCCTGTTGTTACTGATAGACGGCGCTGGACCCAGATGCACCTGTTGACGTGCTCCAGAAGCATCGCGATGCGTGCTTGTGCTGCAATGATGGGATCCTGGAGGTTTTGCACTGTCAGCATGGGTGCCCCGTTGGGTCCCGACATACATGGTCTGTGGTCCTTACAAGCTTGCAGCAGGCGAGCAGGCCACAAAAGTGCAGGAGGCTGCACAACCCTGGCACCTGTGTGCTGTACGCAAGCAAAAGCAGCACGGCCACACGCTGGCACCGATAAGGATGTCAGCCGACATGCGTTGAGCACACGCACGCATGCGCGTGTGCGCAGGTCGTATGCACTGCACAAATGCAAACAGAAGCTGGATATGTGCACACGCGAAAGCCACGATAGCAACATGATGCTTCACGAAAGGGGCGGCACAATGCCACAAGACAGGAGCGGCCGCTGCCCCATTCCTGACAAATGAATTGGGCAGCCAAGGGTGACACAAAACAAGACAAAGATGAACACAAACGGATTGGTAGCGTGCGCCGCTACTATTGCATGCGCGGCAGGCAGCACTCAATGTGGAGCGATCAGCCAATGACAGCCTTCACCAAACCTCATGACTGGGTCAAACAGCAGGACACCAAACACCACACCACGACCCCTGCGCACCCGCCAAACCACATAACAGCTGCCCCGCTGGCACCCTGTCTTTGTGCAAAGCAACTTCTCACACAAAACACCCGAACGTTGTCTGTAAAGTCACACAGGCCGATAGTGGCCAGCGAGGAAGTTGTTGAGCCCACAGTACAGTCCAACTGTATGGTTCAGGCCGATCGACAGAGTGCTGTAAATTCCCGGTTCATCAGGGCGGGCGACGCCGGCCGCGGTCGCACTCGCCGGTGATGTCATCGCAGCGCCGCCGGCTCGAGGGGCAGCGGCGAACCGCCGGCGTCGCCGCCGGCTGCGGCCGCCGTGGCCGTCACCGCCGCTGCGCCAGCCGAAACGTACAAAGCCGGCGCCCCGCCGCCGACCTCGTGCGCGTGGCCGCCAACAGCGTCGCCCGCCGCTCCGTGCCCGCCGTCCGCCGCCGCATGCTCGGCCGGCGCCGCCGCTGCGGGTGCGGGGACGCCCGCCGCCGCGGCGGCCGCGGGGTACGACAGCAGCGACTCCGCTGCGTACATGCGGGCGGCGGCGTATGCGTCGTCGTCCATCGCAGCGAGGTTGGCTATGCCCGTGCCCAGCCGCTCACAGATCTGCTCCAGCGCCAGGATTGAGAAGGGCTCCTCCAGGCTGACCCCGATAGCCTTTCAAGAAAGAGCGGGAAAGGCGGATTCGAAACGATTTGTGAAAGGAGGAGGATCGAGCAGTTGAAGAGGTTGTATTCGGCTTGAATTACTGATGCGGGACGCCGTCGCGCAGGGGCAGAAGTGGGATTTCTCGGCGGGCTGCAGGCGTGTGCTGGGGCAGGGCCCGTGCCGCAGCCCCAGCAGGCGCGCTCCGGCCCGGCGGGGCCCCCTGCCTCAAGGCTTGGGCTGCCAAGGCGGAGCCTGCGCACAGGCGTGGCACGCGCACCTCTATGGTGAGCAGCGCGAGGCTGACCAGCGCCGCCGCGGGCACGCAGCCCCATCCGCACTTGGCCCAGAGCGCCAGCGGCAGCAGCAGCAGCCACAGCGCCATGAAGCGCGTCGTGTGGCGCTGCGGGGGGCGCGGGGCGGGGCGGGTGCATTGCAGGGTGAGAACAGCTGCTGGGAGCACCAGTACGTGGCGACCTGACAAGACGGCGGGCTCGGCCGCAAAACTTGGCAGGCGGGCATATGCTCTCTGAAGGAAGCTGCGGCGCGGTCAAGAAGCCCCGCACAGGGAGGCCAAGTCAAACCCCTACACAGCTGCCGTTGCCCGCGGCGGCGCTCGGGGGCAAGGGTGCGGGGGCGAGGGGGCGCACCGTGTACGACAGCGGTATGGGCGTCGTGAGGATGCGGGTGCATGATGACAAACTGTACATCATGGAACCACTGGGCGAGATGGTAAGGGGGGATGCATGGGATTTTGGAGGGGGGGTGGAGTGAGGGGGGTCAGGCAGGGTCGATGAGGGCGGTCGCAGCAGCTGGATGCGCAAGCGTGCGTAATCTCGAAGCCGCCGTGCGGGCGCAGCGTCCAGCAGCAAGCTCCGGTGCGGGTGCAGATCACCGAACACAGGCATATGCTTGGCTCCGCCTGCAGCCGCCGCAACATGACAAACGCCGGGCAGACCCCTGGGCCCCTTACTGCCCACCACAGACAGACACACATACACATACGTGATCCTCTGCGCCTCACATTTCATGCATGAGCATGACCAGCTGCTGCCCTGACAGGTTGTTCTTGAGCACATGACTCATCACCAGCATCGCATAGTGCGGAGGGTCACGCGCCGCCATCTGGGGACGAGTGAAAGGGTGGGAAATTGTGTGTGTGTGTGTGTGTGTTTGTGTGTGTGTGTGTGTGCACGTGCGTATGTCCGCACGCGCCTCCGTGAATGCGTGCGCATGCGTGCATCGCGCATGTGTGAGCATGCGTGAGAATGTATGTATAACAAGTGCCTTCTCCATGACAGTGGTGAGAAGCCTGCCACCCTCATCATCACAGGTGCGGCTGTGAGGCCTTTGCTCTGTCAACTGCCCCTCGTCATCGCACCCGCAGCGCACGCACGCACGAACGCCTGTGCTCTTACAACCGCCGACAGGGCCCCCGAATCATACAGGCCAGCACCGAGGCAAGTCAGCACCGCTCAGACGACCACCGCTCAACCCCTACCCCGCCCTAGCCCGCCGCCCCTGTAGCCGGGGGCCGCTGCTGCGCACCAGCCCATCTAGCTCCCGCGGCTCCAGCCACCCCTCCAGGTCAGCGCGCTGCCGCCCCTCCTCCCGCAGCGCCCACTTGCAGGCAAAGGTGTAGGCCACCAGCCAGCGCCCCAGCATGGCGCGCGCCTCGGGGCGGTCGCGCGGGAACACTGCCAGCACCTTTGTTTGGATGGGCAGCGATTTGCGAGGGTCGTGGAAGGGGTCCAGTCGGGAAGGCCCCAAGCAAGGGCGATTCGGGGCGCAGCATGTGCGGCGCGCGTGACAGAGAGGGGCCGAGGCGCTGGGCTGTCGCGGCGTGCGGGTGGAAGGTGTTGCGTCCGGGACGCGGCGGGAGACGCATGAGCCAAGAGGCCAGCAATGCCGACCTGTGGGGGATTTGGTGGCATGACCCCTCTCCCCCCCTTTTCGGAAACAATTGAATTAGCATGCCCTGCGCAGCGCCCCACCTGCCGCCAGATGTCGCGCGCTGAATCAGCGATCCTGCCGAACACGCAGCGCGCCTCGTGCCACCGCTGGTAGGCGCCGTTGGTGCGGAATACCAGCAGCAGCGCCTGCGACGGCCGTGAGCATCGCGCGCGGTGCGTGCTGTTACCGGCTGGTCCAGGACCGCGTGACGCCAGCTGATGTCATGCAGCCAGGTCGCCCGCAGCACCGCTCAGTCAGGTGCGGCCGGGCCAGCCCTGCCGTGAGCGCCCATACAGTCGCGCGTAGCGATGTACCGCGTGCGCTGGGCCCCTCGCCAGGCCAAGCCGCTGCCCCGCGCCCCGTGCGACGAGCGCTGACTGCCGCGGGCGGCGCCGGGACGCGTGTGCTGGGCGCATTCCCAAGCCTCTGCCTGCGCGTCTCACCAGGGCGAAGCTCGTGAGCTGGAAGGGCTCAATGGGCACCAGGGGCAGCGCCGGCATGAAGGCCGGCAGCCAGCGCAGCGCGAAGATCGTGTGGTAGGAGCAGACGGCTGGGGGCGGCGGCGAGCGCGGAGCGCGGCGGCAGGGATGCAACAGGTGTGTGGGCGGGGGTCGCCTGGGAACGACTCGGAGCAAAGTGCGGTGGGCCGAGCCGGGCCCCGCCAATAGTTGCCACTCTTCACGCCAAACCCCCCTCCCCCACTTGCGCTTGCTACCGCGCGGATTGCACACCCGCACCCGCCGCAGCGGCGCGCCCCGAAACGGTTGCAAAGCGCGCAGTGGCACACCCAAGCAGCACTGCAGACGTCATGGCATCACCCCTTTGCTTGCTGCTTGCCCGCCCTGTGGACGTGCCCACCTGTGGCGACGGCAACGATGACCATCACCGGCCGCAGGAGACCCCTCACGATGCGGGAGCTGCGCGCGGAAACGCACAACCATTCAGCAGGGGGTCAGGGGCGGCGGCAGTCAAGAGAGATGCAGCCAGATCCGCACAGCACGATCATGAGCACGTCAGCTGCCGCAGCGGTCGTGTTGCTTGCATGGCTAGAGCCTCAGTTCAGACCCCGTCCGCCGCTCACTTTTTGATGGTGCTGAGGTGGTAAAGGTACCGCCGCGACTGCAATGGCATGAGGCATGAGATGAGGGTGCCCGCTATCAGGTTTACCACAAGACACAGCCAAGGGGCGATGGGCGCTCTGCACCGCCCCGGGCTGCCGGCGCCACTGTAGGGTCCCCGGGGCGGGTTTGAGCTGCATACTGCCACTGGCGACTTGGAGCTGTTGGCGAGCACCTGCCGCAGTTCCGGCAAACTGCCGCTGCGGCCGCCGGCGCTGCGCCTGCAGCTGCCGCCTCCGATACACTTGCTGCTGCCGGCGGTGCTGCTGCTGCTGCCTCCGCAAGCGCCGCTCGGCACCCCGTGCAAAGGCCAGCAGCAAGTGCAGCATACGGCCGCTCGGCCCCGTCCTCGCCAACCATGCGGCAAGGCAGCACCCCGGCATGGCACCTGCGGCGCGCCCCATATTCCCTCATCTTCCCTGCCCCGCCCCTCGCCGCCCATCGCCACCCACGCTGCGGTGCTTCCTCCAGTCCCTCCACGTGAATGACGTCCGCCTGTAGGCCCGGCTCTCATCCGTCTCGTTCCACGCGGCGTGGCTGGGGCCCCCATGCTGCGCCCCGCTGCCCTCGCTGCCGTCGTCGTCCCAGAACCGCCGCGCCATTCCTCCCCCGGGAGGCGTTCCATTGAGCGCAGCCGAGACCACCACGCCGCGCGGCAGGTCGCCATGCCGGAGCTGCGCGCCCTGGCAAGTGCAGCGCGGCGAGCGTCGCTGGTGGCGCGTCGGCGGCAGCAGCGACCTCAGACCGCCTCCAGGCCCTTGCAGCCGTTGAGGCGTGTGCATCGATGATACCGGTGCCTGAATGCCTGCCACAGCAATCACAGGCGCGCGCTAATGGGCTTGACGCTGGGTGGGAGGCTGTGTCGTCCCGTGGTCTAGGTGTCGTGCGATCAAAATATGCAAAAGCACGCGTCGCATTCAACTCGTTGATTCCACTGAGTGATCCCGAGAAAATCCGAAACGCTCATGAGACTGCCTCCCCAAGAGGCTCGGTGCGAGGGTGTGCCCGAGCACGGTACACACGCAGGGAGCACAGAATTGTCAGAGCATCATATAAGGGTGTATGGAAAAACTCTGTAATCGAGAACGACCGACAAGCACCGCGCCGATCGGCATCAGCTAGCACTGGGATTCCGGGCAGTGTGCTGTTGGTGGGTGCGGATGCCCAGGGCGCACCCTCCGTGGCGCTGACTGCCGATCGCTGCAAGTCACAAGCACCACCTCATCAGCTTTGCGAGATCGTGCGCGGCAGTGCTAGAGAGTAGGCTGGAGTGATGCAGACGCCACAGCTCGCAGGCGGCCGCACACTTGCCTCTGCAGTCCCTCGCTCCCCAGCAAAGATTTGAAGTGGGCATGACGAAATGACAAATCTAGGGGACGATGCTGAATTGATAGAGAAGCCCCTATGTCATCATTGAGGCCTTCATCACTGAGTATGGTTACATTTTTCAGACAAAAGGTTAAAGTACATTCTGGGTTCCATGGGCCCACCGCTGTGTGCGGCGCGGGCTGGCGCAATCATGGGGGCACGCGCGGTGGCCCTGCAGGCCGATGCTCGGGAGAAATCAGCCGAGCTGAAGAAAAGAGCAGGGGGGAGGTGGGGGGCCGCGGTGCACCGCAGCTGGGGCGAAAATGGCGCCCTGCGCGGGGCGGAGCGGGGCACATCCCGCCACTGCCACCGCAGCTGCCGCCGGCCGCCTCGCAGCCACAGCGGCAGCGAGCATCAAGGCGGCTAGCTTATGAAAGGCCAAAAACTCTCAAACCCAAGACCCCGGCTTGACCCATGGCGCGGGCAACGCCGCAAGCCCCGTGGAGCAGGAAGCGTTTGTGGCTGCCGCCGGTGTCGGCCCCGCACAGATCAGTACACGTCCGGCGGCCGGTGCCCCGGCGCGACGGGGGCGTCGCCGGTGGCCTTCTGCAGGTGGAGCGCCAGCGAGTAGTTGGACAGCTCCAGGTGGCGCAGCCGCTCTTGGTACTGCGCCACCACCTGCTTCAGCGCCGCCAGCTCGTGCTCCTTGGCCGCTGCCTCCTGTATGCGCGCGTTCTGGATCTGCACCGCGCGCTTCAGGATTGCGTTCTCCCGCAGCGCCTCCTGCGCCTGCGGCGCCGCGGCGCCGGCGCGCTCCTGCGACGCGACGCGGGCGCCGACAAACTGCTCGAACGAGGTGAGCAGCTTGGCCGCGCGCGACCGGGCGTCGGGGATGTTTGTCGCCGCCGCCATCTCGCCCACCAGCGCGTCGACCCACTGGTCGGCGGTCTGCGGGCCGCTGGGGCTGGCCTGACCCTGCGTGGCCACTGCGGCCGCGGTGGGGGAAGCGGCGGCGGGGGCCGACGCTTGCTGCTGCTGCTGCTGCTGCTGCTGTTGCTGCTGACGCGACTGTTGTTGTTGCTGCTGCTGCTGAGGTGCAGCCGAGCTGTTGGGCTGCTGTGCCTGCTGCCCTTGCTGCTGCTGCTGCTGCTGCTGCTGCTGCTGCGTCGCCGCGTCGACAGTCACAATACGCAGCTGGTTGAGCCGGCGAATAGCCGCGTCAATATCATTGCCGCACTCCGCCAGCACCGCTGTGACCGCCTGCAAATAGTTAAGGATCAAGGCGCTGCATGATGAGAAAAGGCTGCCGGTTGAGCACCGCCAGGTGCTTTGCCAAAGCATGCGCACCGACCAAGCCCGTGACTGTGCAGCGCGTGCGACCGCGGCGCATGCCACAGCCCTCTGACACCCCTTGTTGCACGAGCCCCTGGACCGACGAAATCTTCCAGCGCACCTGGTCGTCCATACCGGGAAACAGGCCCTTCAGGGCCTCGAGCGTAGCCGGGTGGACCGCCTGGAACGACGAGGAAGACCCTGAGCAGCGCCCCGAGGGGCTGCCGCTCAAGAATCGACTCCTTTTGCCCTGTCCTCTATCACAGGGAGAATCGATGTCCTCAGGGTCCTCGCCGAAGAGACGCTTGGAGCCCGAATAGGGGGAAAGCGCCTGCACTGACATTCCTGTTCTGCCCGCCTGCAGGCAGGCAGCGCCTCCGTAGACGGAGGGCGCTTCCTTTCTCTTGCAGAGCGGGAAGGGCCGCCGTGCGAGCACAAGCCACGGGTGAGGTGGATGAGGGGAAGCTGTTGTGGGGCTCGTTGGCGATATTCGACCAGCGATGGGTTTTTTGATGATGGTACTATGGTAAACGTTGCGGCCTTCGACAAGGACCTTTGCTCTCTGCCTCTGCGACACTCCCACTGCCACTCCCCATAACAGTCAGCTTTACTTTGCCGAAGCTTCTTGTGCAAATGCAATATGTCACTCGTCTAACTGCATGTATATGTGTTGTTAAGCCTTGCAGCTCCTGTGCACAAGCACCACCAGATCAGTTGATCTAGCAGCAGCCAGGTGCCAAGAGGGCTTTGCAGAAAATCTCACTGCGATCACGTGCTGGCGTGGCGGGGGGCAGTGGAGCCATGAGCAGTGAGGACTACACCAGCGACGAGGAAGCCGGCGGCGGTGATTCCTTGTGAGCGCAACAGTCGGCGCAAGCCAAGGGGCTGTGCAAAGCCTTGGTGTCGATCGTGCAATAGGTGTCTCTCTGCGCACCGCCGTCTCTTTCGCCTCTGGCCAGCGAACTAGTGGCACCCGCACGATGCTTGTCATGGGGCACCGGCCCAACCTTAGTTGCGCCGCCCGTCACGCCCCACGACGCAGCGCGCTCCATGACGCCGCCGAGGCCGGCGACGCGGCGCTGCTCCGCCAGCTGCTGGAGGCGCGGCGGGAGCAGCTGAGGGGCGCGTTTGCAGAGGTGCGCTGGCGACCGCGAGGCCCTGAGCGGCTGCCCTCGGCCCTCACCCACCATGCGCATTAGCGCCTGCTGAGTATTTTATTCTGTGCGCTGCGTAAAGGGGCCAATTCAGCAGTTGCATGCCTTGAAATTTGTAGACCGTAGCCACAAAGCAGGCAAGGATGCAGGCCTGTCTCTGCAGGAACCGGCGGCTAGCATTCAGTCGCAGCCGCCTCCCTCAGCCCATGCTACGGCCCCGCCCTCCCCCAAC